TCTCCTCCCTTTACTTTGGTGGATATATCTTTGCACTACTGCTGTTACACTTCTACCTCTATGATTCTAGGGCACACTAAGAATAGAACATTTTGATGGATAGATCCTACAGGAAGCTTCCAGACGTACTCAGAGTAGATCAGTTAAAGGAATCCTTACCTTTTGTCTTCTATTGGACTTCCATCGACTGAAAATACGTGGTGTATCCAGTGAGCATGGATGTTGCTCTTGTATACTAGCCTTGTGCTTGTGGGAGGCAAAAGGCAGAGAGAACTTAGGTACTGCTATTCATAACTGTTACCTGTTACCTCTACTGTTACATTATGCCCGGGAAAGAATAAACAAAGCTCAGCTCTCTTTTGTCTTTGCCCTCATTCTAAATGGGCTGTACTGAGATTTTATTTGGTTTGAGGTTTTGTGGTGATTATGCTTATGGCATATTCATTAGTGGAGCAGCCAAGTGAGCAGGCATGTTCTATATATATTTACCATGAGTTTTTTAATTTTCTTTGTGTTCTTTACCAGGTTACATTTTTTCCGGGGTTCATAGAAAGAATTTGTATCTCCATATTGTTGCCAACAGTCTGCTTATTAGGAGCATTGGGCCTGATCTCCTTAAATGTTCACATTTACACTGACTTTTTATCTGTTTAAAGCAAATAACTCGAACAAAGTACTCATGTTTTATGAAAAGTTACCTTCTTCATTTCAGTTCTTCTGTGCTACATATTTTCTTGCTTTTTCTTGTTTTGGAGTTTTTAAATTGTTGGTATTGGTCCAAATTGCCATCTCGTAGTACAGGATCAGAAAGATCTGCATCTGCTTCTCAAAAAACAAGAACAAAAAAAATCTCTACTGCTCTGTTGTGAATCACATCTGTTGCCACCCAGGGAATGATGCCTTCAGGACTTTTTCCTTAGAAATTAATTTCCTCTTTGCCTGCTTTACTCTGTGTTTAATGATACAATTGTAGGGGGAAAAAAAAAGGTGCTTGCCTTCATTAAAGAACACACTAAATTTTTCTTCAGCAATTGTATTCTAACTTTTTGACAGGATATTTACCTTGCATGGTACCTGTATTCCAGAGTAAAGTTTAAGAATGTCTAATAATAGTAGTAGTACAACATACGTTGATTAGCATGATTTCTGGAAGCTTTTCTAAAATAAGCTTTTTTTATTCTAATAACTTCATATTAGCAGTAACTTGAACGTGTGGAATTGATAACTACATTTTCAAAAAAAGCATTATTAGAAATAGAAAGCTCTTTCACTATTCTGTAGTACCACCTTGAGCAGACTAGAGAGCTCAGTTTTGGGTTGTTTTTCTTGTTCTAAAAGTGGGCTATACTAGAAAATCTGTCTCTAGATATTTGAAGTGTTTGTATTTTGGGGAATAAAGTACAAGATGTGTTGTTTTGTCAGGGAGTATTAGTCTTCAACTAGAACACTAAAATTTAAGACAGAACTGCTGCTAAAGTTGAAACATGACTGATTGGCATCATGTAATATTTGAAACAATTTGTTGAGTCCCATTTTGGTATTTCATTCATTAGAAGAATTTAGAAGTAGGTTCTTAATTTGTCCACACAATTAAACTTAATTTCCATGTGGATGGCTGAAAAAGGTGTATTTTGCTGGGAGCTCTTTTTTTGGAAGCACTTTCATAACTGCAGCTACCCCTGTTTCTCTAATAACACGTCAGGTTTATTATGGCTGATGTTGAAAGTCTTATATTTATCTTGAGAAACATGAGCAAACTGTAGGTGTGTCTTTTATTATTTTATTATTTTATTTTTATTTTAATTATTTGTGGTTTGGATTATAATTTTGTGTAGCAGGTACATGTGGGTTTGCAGCCTCTTTTCTGATGTCATAGATGTTTCCTATTACCATAGCTGATAAAAAGGATTGTATAAGTAGAGATGCAAGTATTGAATCAGGATTTCCAGAATGTTTATTTCCATGTCTTTATGAGCTGGTTCTTTTTCCTTGCCTGTTTTTCTCTAAACCTCCTTCCCTGGCTCCTGATTTTTGCAAGATAGGAAAATCCATACTTTTCGGCACAGAAGCTTTTCTTCTCTGCTTGCTGAGAAAGAGGGGAGTGGAACACAGAAATTTTCCACCTATCTACTTTCTCTCACCAAGCAAGATATGGAGTTGGACTGATTTAATGGTGTCAGAAGAAATAATCTTTCCATATAATAATTATAGGCTAATTTTGTTTCCTGTTCAGTTTTCCTGAGCAGCAATTACAGAACTAGTGGGAAGTGGGTTTGACAGTTGCCTGCTGTCTCGCCTTCTGAGTAGTATTTAGTTTCACAACTCCTGAGGAGTGTTTATTTTGATTCAAAGCTTGGCAAAGCTAAGGGCAGTGGGATGATATTAGCATGCCTGAAAAGTAAGGAAGGTGATGCAAATTTGTTTGGAAATTTCTTGCAGTGAATATTGTTTGAAAGTGTGTGGGTTTTGTTTTTGCATTCTTTTAGAAATGGAGATTTTAGTTTCTTATGTTTATTGGAGGAAACTTTCATGTTTCTCAGGTGCAAACTGGAGACTGGATTTTTCTAGCCTCTAATTAAGTAAAAAATTTAATCAAATTTAACAAAAGGTCTCAATAAAAGTACAGCTTCTAAAGGCAGAAGAAGTAATTTCTCATGGTTTTATATGATTATGGTTTTAAAAAAATAATCTTGTTCTCCCATATAAAAGTAACTAAAAATTTCTGCTTTGCTAATTCTAGAGATCAGGACCTTTGTCTTCTGGGCTGTTTTCCAACCTTGGGAATGTTCTACTTCTCATGTGAATTTTTGATAATATTATGCATATTTTATGGAGAATTTATGCATTTCACATAAACCTTACTTTAAATAGTTTTAAAAATTCAAGAAATATGACTGTAGAAAGAAAAATCCTCAAAAACATGTAAGGAAAAGCAAATGGGAAGTGTCTTTTTTTTTAATTGTAGGAGTGGAATTTGGAATGATCATCTAGTACTGGTAAAACAGGAAGACATGGTTTGATAGTGCAGTGTGGTGGTGCAATACCTGAGATGAAGTGTCATTGTATGGATGTTCCCAGGCAGTAGAAGTGTTAGATCTCTCAGGTGTAAGTGGGAAAGACATGAGACTTTTACAGCCCTAATGAATCTTTGAAGATTGCTGATAGTTCTAGCCCTAATTAGGTACATAAACTGGATCCTAACTGGCCAAATAATTCTGTTTTGCAAATAGTAATTAGAGCATACATCATGCTTTTATTCTTGTCTTCTCCTGTGGCTTAGCATGTGTTTTGTCATACGGGGACAAAGACATGATGTAAAAATAGTCTAGGTGAATAAAAATAATATGCGGTATTTTATCCTCCATTTAAAAATATTATAGAAGCTTCAATAATGTCACTTCTGGTACCATGTTAATTTTTTTTTAGCATCAGAACTGTGTGGTTAAATATAAGACAAGCCTTACACTATACTGAGTTTGCTATGCCTCAGTAACCATAGGGAAAAAGGTTGAGGATGGGCCATTATCAAAATAGTCTTTTGGTAGCTGACCATGGAAGTTAGGCAGTAGTGACCTCTTTTTGCTTCATATACTCCACCATGGAAGGCTGAAGCCCTGACCTCTCAATTAGAGGTTTTCCAAACCAGAGGATGTGACTAGTTGGCAGAGGTGGATGCAGTGTCAGTCTGACTGACACCCTGTAGTTTCTTACAAATGTGAAATGAGCACAGCAAACACTGATTTTGTTCATTCTGCCTTATTCCGGTTGGAGGCTAAATCTGTCAAATTTGTAAGCAATGTTAGGTCTTGATGGCTTACTCTAGATAGCATTGACTGTGCTCGTTTGTGAGAATGTGTGCCTTCTTACACAAAGTGCAGGATATCTGTATGAATTTTGGGGAATTTGTGTTGGGTTCTTTTTCTTTAGATTTTCTGTTACCAGGTGCAAACTCTTGCATTGACTTTTGAGACTCAGTTCTATCCACATACTGCAAATTCTATCTTTTGCATAAAAGGGTTTTGTCTTCTATCAGGTTTGCATATTTAGTTATTGGCAGGATTAGTTTGCAGGTGGAACCAGGGATTTCTTTCAGTATGACTAACCCTGATCTTTCTCCACAAGCATTCCTTTAATTAACTAAACTGGTGCTAACTTGTGATTCATTCCTCCATTCTAAAAACAATTTGGGTTGGGATTTTTTGTGGCCTTCTCGTGGTGTTTTTTGCTGCTTTGTGATATACTTCTCCTTTATTACAGGAACACTTACACAGAATGAGATGATATTTAAGCGCCTCCACCTAGGTACTGTGTCCTATGGAACAGACACAATGGATGAAATACAGAGTCATATTATAAACTCTTATTCACAGGTATCTCATTTCATAAATTATTTGCCTTTTAATATCAAGGGGATTTTAACAGCATTGATTAGGAAGGACTTTGTACTGGTTTGTTTCTATTCTTTGAAACAAAAAAATAAAATAGAAGAGGAAATAAATTATAGATTAACTAATATTTCCATGTTGTTTACAATTTGATAAGAAAAATGTATATAAAAGTTCTTTTCTGTACTTAATTTGGATACATAAACACGACTGGCTGACCCAGTTAGGTTTGTGGACTGACCTTCTTGTCTGTGTCCTCATTTTCTCTTGTAAAAGGATTGTAGGATCAAAAATTGATTTGAGTATTTAGTTGTGCTGTGTTTTGAACTATGGCTCCATTCACATTTGCTTAAAATAAAAATGTTAATTTGATACCACACTGGACCCAGTTCATACTTTGTAGCTTTTAGGAAGAGGGGCAGGAGGGAAAGCAGTGAAAAGCAATGTATGTAATAAGTTTTTAGTTTGCAGCTTAAGTTTCTTAATTATTTCCGATCTAAACAAATCAACAAATCCCCTTCTTGAATTCTTTTCCTTGGATAAATCTATTTCAGCCTAATTCTTAGTAGGTGTAAGTAAGGTGACTAGTAAGTGAGATACAGTAATCAGCCTTGGAAATGAAATACAGAACTCCTTCATCTAGAGATCAGCAGTCCAAACTTGATTCAGAATGGGTTACTGAAAGTTACTGCTACTGACAATGTTCCTAAAAATCACCCAAACATAGTTTTGTTATAATGTGTAGTTTGGGTATTCACAGTAGCAACTGTAGCAGTAAATAATATTATCTGACATTCTATGTGAAAAGGAATTACACAATTCCTAGAGTTCTTACTACTTAAAGCTTTTACTAGTTTACTGTAAAATTTAGTGAGTGATACCCATGGTGAATCAAGTTTTTAGTAACCATAATGTACTTAAAATAAGGAAAAAATGTAAGAAATGTGAGAGAGGGGCTTTTTATCAATTGAATGGAAAAGATTTCCTAGGTTTGTTATTAGTAGATGATGAAAAGAACTTTGCTTGGAAGTTCCTGTTTTTCAGCTTTATATAACACTACTTGATGTTTAAATAATGCTTTAATTTTGTGTGTGTTAGTAGCAACTCTTTAAAACAGAAAAATGATGGAGTCTCCATAACAAACCAAGTAACTACTAAACAATTGTTTCAATAAAAAAAAGTGTGGTGATGTTTTTATTTAATCTATGATAATAGAAGCTGCCAGTTAGCTATGCAGTGGTTCTTGTGTGACATTGATTTTATCCCTTGTTTGTGTTCTGTTTTATTATTACAGTGGACCTACTAGACTATTGTCATCTTAATGTAACACACAAATCTATTACAACCTGATTATATTTCCCCACTGGAAGCATTTTGTGATAGAGGGCATAATCTTTAATGGAATTTGTGTGAAATTAAATTATACAAGCATCAATAAACATAACATAATTCAGAAGGAGTAAATCAGCTTAATTTATTTGTGACTGTAATGGCATCAGCGTTAGCAGAATGCAAATGCAGAGGTTTAAAGCAGTAGCTGAAAAGCAGTGCCAGATGAGCAGAAAGTTAAACCCTTTATTAGACAACACTGTAATTTCATGGGCAGAATGTTCACAGTTCAGCAGATTGCAGTCAGGAGGAAAAAAGCATAGATTCTGAAGAGGTTTTCTGAGTTCCACTGTAGTGAACAGAAGAGCCTTTGGTACTACTGCTGATGTATTTAGTGTGCTGATTTTTAAAGGGGAAAAACAACCAACTACCAACACAACCCAATAAAACACAAACCAAAAAGAACACCCAACTTCTTTTCAACTAATTATTAACATATAGTACTTTTCAGAGGAAGTTTAGTTCTGTCATGTGCTCAAGAATTTCTGAAGGATAACTTAAAATAGTGCTAGTTTAGTGGCTATGCAACAGTAATGTGATCTTCAAACGTGTCAAACTGTTATTTTGCATGATTATTTTATTAGATTGTTGCAGTCTTGTAAGGACAAACACATTTCAGCCTGCAGCAAAAGCGTAAAACTGCATTAGTTCAAAAATAGTACAGAAATTGTGTAGGTTATAAATTAAATCAGTAATATTTGTATTGTAATGATTCCTAATATTTTAAATTAGTATTAATATTTAAAATATTCCTAATATTTGAAATTATCTGAAGTGAGGTAGCAGGGATTTCTGCAGATTCTTTTCAGCCTATTCAGCCCTTTTGCTTGCATACTTGTTTTCATTTCACATTTTTCAATTGTTTTCAGGCTCTGGTACTGAAATCTGGCTACAAATGTCGACAGTTTTATATCATTCCCTAAGAAAAGTAGATGAGGGGTTTTGTGAATCGCAAACTGAATGAGTTCACAGAAGGTTATATAAAAATCAATACATGGTTACTAGCCTTAGCATTTAGCAACCTTTGTAAAGGGACCAGTCATATATATACATATATATATAAGTGTTCATGTTTTGTTTCTGTTATTGAACTTTGGTTTACTATTCATTGTGTTGGGTCTTGAAGGTGCACTCTCAGAACAGTGGAAACAGTACGAGTTCAACACCATCTAGGAAACCTCAGTCGTCTGCACCCAAAGTGCGTAAGAGCGTCAGCAGTCGGATACACGAGGCAGTGAAGGCCATTGCACTCTGCCACAATGTCACCCCAGTATATGAATCCCGAGCTGGTGTGTCTGGAGAAACAGAATATGCAGAAGTGGATCAGGACTTCAGTGATGAAAATCGAACTTACCAGGCTTCCAGCCCTGATGAGGTTAGTATGCATCAGTGAAAATATTAGTATGTCATAAAGAACAGGCTAAGCTAAGGTAAAAAGAGAAGAACTGTGAAAGAAGTGTGTTCTGAGCATGGGTTTGTTTAAAATTAGTAGTAATCTAGTTTGATTTTTTCCTACAGCTGTAGAAAGGATCTAGTGTTCCTTTGGTGCATAAAAGTGTTTTCAGTTGTTTGACTAAAAGATCTCTGTGCTTTGGGATCAATACTGTGTTGAGGATTGCAATTAAAGTTATTAGGTGTAGTCTCAAAACATTAATCCATGTTTGTTAAAGGGAATATGAAACTGCTTTGAGGGATGAACAACCAGGCACACTAGCTAGAGATGCTCCCAGTTATTGGAAGGTATAGATTCTTAACAGGAAGTAAAAGAAACAGCAAACTTCAAACGCTCCTGTAGAAAAGCTTTTGGGTTTCAAACCCTACGCAGCTTCATATTCCTTCAGAGTTCAGTCAAAGGTGCATCAAGTGTAGCACAGATTTAAACTCCATTTCAGTAAAAACATGCATTTGACTTCTATTGAAATCCAAATTTTAAACAAATCCCTCTTCTTTCATTGGATGTGAGTTATTGTTCTGAATAATCCTGTTTTGGGCCATAAATTGATTGCCTAAAATACAATCTAAAAAGATACTGGAAGAGAGAGGCAAAGCTCATATTTCAAGGAAGTTCACTGTATAAAAAGAGCTATGTAGCTGATACAGTAAAACAGAGAAATAGAGTATTTTGAGGTTGGTTTGCCTCTGAAAGTGATCTGGTTGAGAGTGGCATCTTTGTTTTAAAGAAATTGTAGCTTTGTCGGAAGCTTGGATGTACTGTGGGTGTTGCAGCCACAGTAGCTTAGTCACAAGTAAAACAAGGTTGTTGCAAGATGTGAAGAAGGGAGTGTGTATCTGAAAGCCTGATCTAACACAAGGCAGTGTTTCTTCCACAATCTTCATCTTGCCACATCATAACGTATTACTCATGGTATACATTTTGTTTTCATGTCTAATATGTCACTATGTGTAATGCTAACAAAACTCTAGCATTTCAAACTGCAGGCTGTAATTGCTAAAAGTAACAAGTCTATACCAAATGTTTTTAGGAATGCAAGAAATAAAATTAAATCTGTCTTCACACAGTACTGAACTAGCAGGCATTATATGTATTTTAGATGCTATAAACACAGTTCATAGTGTCAAAGGATTGTAGAACATAAAGTGGCTGGTTCTCAGTGGTTAAAAAACAGGAATCAAAAACATTTTAAAAGCATTTTTAAAAATAATTTTTAAATCATTTAAAAAACATTCTTTACAATAAGCTCTAGGCAGAACTTGGGACACTGCTATTTGGCTAAAATCAATAATCCATAATACTGTATGTAGTGTTACACAGTGTGAGTTGATCTGCATCATGAATTGAGAATGCTGGGAGGGCATTTGCTTATACCAGAGGTATACTGTAAATATAGTTTTTTAGTGTAGTTGTATAATGTTTGACTTGTATTATGCACATGTGTACAAATTTTCATGTTTGCTAAACAGATCAGTTTAATGAACCCGTGAGGTATTACTGAATGTAATGAATGACTGCACGAGCAGGTATCTGCCTATGAAGATATGATGGCAACTATAAATTAAGTAAACATTCTGCTATAATAGCCAAAGGTATTACTAAATCAGGTGAAGAGACATGCAATTGAGAGATTATGTGAGCTTTTTTTTCTCCCGTTTGCTCTTCTCTCCCTGTGGACTTTCGTATATTCATTCAGTTGTTTGAAACCTGAAAATGCTACCATGAAGAGCAATTCTCCTCCTATATTTGCTAAAGGAAGCAGCTGTATGACTCAAGAATTATGCAAGTGGTGCCCTGGGAAGACAGTAGGGAATTTGACCTTGGAAAGAGGAAAGGAAAGTTGATAAAGTGCTAACACGACAGATCTGGGACTCAGGGTGGAAAGGGAAGTGGAAGAGGAAATTTGCAACAAAGAAACTGTTAGCCCTTCAAGGGATAGAATGCTCAGATATCCTTTTAATAATGTTTTTTTTAGCATCTCAACTCATACATTGAAACTATATGACAGTGAAATGACAGTGACATTCTGAAACAGCATTAAATTTCCTTTTGTTTCTCAAAGATAATGCTAAAATATTAGTAACAATATCTTATTGAACAAATATGCTTTAATATACTGAGAAATTGATGTTAAATGAAGTTTTATAAAAATATGAAGCCTCCCAAAAAACGTAAACAGCATAGAAATTGCAGCATGACAGCAAAAAAGCCTAAGAGTTTAAAGACTAGCAGGTCTTTATCATAATTTTTTTAAGACTTCTATTGATGCAATGTTTGCAAATCACTGGAGCCTAAGGAAAATAATGTAAATGGTTCATTATTTAGCTTATTGAACTTTCCTGCAGTTAGGTTGACGGATGATGCCAATGTTTCCCAATCACCAAAGTACCATTTTAAAAGCATTTTTTATTGAATAAAGTGCTTTGAATATTGCACCCTGGAGCTTTATTTAGGGAAATGGTTCAATTGATGTTTTCTGTTTAACCTCAGCACTGACCTATCACAACATATTTGGTTAATAAGCAACATTATCATTTAATAGACTTAAACAGTTTTATGCATTGTATTTTCTCAACATTACAACTCTGTTCTCTTAGATTTTGTTTATGGATCTGGCTTGATTGCAGTCTTTTGAAACAAGATGTTATTTGCACAGTCATCTGTTGCATTATATAATATTGCATGATCTCCCCATAGAATGTAAAGAGCAGAGAACAGTAAGTATAAACTATTCTTCCATGTAGGAAAGTATAAGAAGCAGTTTAGTAATATGCTGACACACTATACACTTAATGAATTGACTTGAGGAACTCATTTGAAATTCTTCACATCTGTGTGTATATGTATGGATCCATATACAGATAAAATATAACCATAACAAAGTATGCACATTTAGAAGTAGGTACATTCATCATAAAAGATGTATTTATCTATTGTTAGAGTAACCTGAGATAAGTAACTGATTTTGTATTCATAATGTGAACCCTACTTATGCCAGGCTCTTTGTTTCTTATGATAAGTGATCAATATTTCATTTTCTCTGAAAGAGTGGAAAGTTTCATTTGTCTGTCACTTGTCCTCTACAGCTGTAGCATAGCAAACAATAAACATTCACTGAGAACTCACTGAAGAAAAAGAAAACAGCTCCTACTTGACCATCGTAAGTGTGGGTTCAGTTCATCTGTAGAAAGCCAGCTACCTTAATGTAATGAACAATCATAAAAGAATATAAGCTAAGTAGGTAAAGCAATAGAGTTCAAAGGTCAGAGACCCAAGCAATTCAGGGCATGCTGTGAACAGGAGCCTTTGAAGACCTTTGTGCCCTGTGGTCAGAAAAGGTTGATCAGTCATGATTTTTAATGACTGCTTACTCTCATAAACCAGCCATTTATTGGTTATGCTTTGTCCTGCACTGTTATATTCTCAAGCATTTCTAATTCCAGGATCTTGAATATATAAATACTATCTTAAAGTGTGGTCAGTTATTTAATGCCAACATTTCTGTCCAGAGACAACAGAGTTGCTAAAATTAATTACAAGGATACAAAGCCAATCATTTAGAAACAGACAAGGAAACTATATGCCCTTAGTGAAGCAGCTTTTGGGTTTACAAAAGTGAAGCTGTAATGTATGAGACATGTTGTATTGTTTAATTCATTTTATTGTGTGTGCTTATTGAAGCAAGACTAATTGTGTTGTTTTGTCAATGTATTGTGAAAAGCAAATCACTCAGTAGCATAAAACCATCACTTGCATGACCTTCGAGACCCACAAAGAATAACTACTCCATAGCTTGTCTTGAATATTGATCAGCAGTTTTTTCACATGATCAAGCTGTATTTTTAAGTTAATAATTTAATTTTAATTATGAAGTTTCTTGATGAAAAGTGATAGACCGCAAATGTTAGTTATCAAATCACTGTTTATAAATATAAACAAACCTGCGCTGACTGGAAACATATATGAGTTGTTGTTGAACAATCCAGACAAACTGTTGGAAACACTCAGGCAATGGAAAAAGGAAATCTCACTGCTGCTTTCCTGTTTCCAAAGCAATAGCTTTACCTTCAAAATACCACACTTAAAATCTCTTATATGACAGTCTGATTTCTAAAGCAGATCCTGTTGTCTGAAGTGAAGATGCTCTTAAATACTCTGAAAGAAACAGAGGTTGGGTACGTGCGAATTCTTCTAAGGAGAAAAACTACCTTACAAAATTTCCATCCCTAGTCTTTCTTTCTTACCCTACAAATTGCTCCCTTATAGATGCCAAAACCCTTGAAGACTTTATTATTTGGCTTCTTTTTCAGTTTAAGTGGTCAGGTTCATAGCATAGCTCCAGGAAAGCCGTCAGCACAACTGTGATGGAACTCCCAGACTCTTGGATGAGGTGGAGAAGGAACAGCCAACACCAGACATGAGGCAGTGGATCTTTTTCTTAAACTGATGTTAGCTCAAACAAGAATATTGTACATTGAAAGTAATAATTAGTTGGTCATAAACTGTTTTGAGCAACACTTTGTAAATATTGATCAGTTTTCTGATCAATAGTTTTCTGATCTAGTTTTCTGCTAGGGAGCAGCAATGATAGCCTGGCCCACAAGGAAAGTAAAGCCAGGAGCTGGGCATGATAGCCAGGCTGCTAGAGGCATTGACCTCAGTGATGAGGTGTAAAGCCCCACCATATCCAGGCAAGGTGAAAAGATCATGTCCTGTAATGGAAACCATGCAAGAGAGAGTATGTATTATTGTACAGGCCTGTGGTGATGAGGCATGTCAGAATTCAAACCAGGAAGGTAAATCACTAAGTCAAGATCAGGTCCCAAGACAGTAACCAGTATTAGGCACAGCCTGGTGATTGCAAGGAAAGTTCATGACAGTGAGGCAGGTTCAAGCCAGGAGGTCGTGTCTGCCTATCAGAGTCAGATCAGCAGGGTACGTGGCCAAACGTTGGCACAGCTGCAACACGACCGCATTGTAGAGCTCTCCCATTGGAAGGGGGAGGGCAGCCTCCATGGAGGCTTCTTTGAGCTGTTTCTTCATCACAGCTTTTAACAGTGAAAGGAGGATGCACTCAGGATCTGCACTCAGGATGCACTTAACAGTTTCAGTCTAAATCTCTCTATGAGAGAATATTCAAAACTATTCTGTCTGGTTTATAGAAGGTTATGTTTAAGTCAAGTGAGTATCCAATCTCTGTTTCAGTTTAACCAAGGTAAGAGGAGGATGCATTGTTTGTTCAGTGGAGTATTTACATCTGCTTTTTTTCTAAAAAATATTATTAAAAAAAATAAAATAGTGGCTTAGGTTCTAAAGCAAGCAGCCTTAGAGCATGTTTTCGGTCTTCTGCCAAGCAGTAACAACCTTTTAGGACAGATCCAGTAAGTGCAGGTCTTCAGGATTCAGCAAGGTTCTTCAAGTACCTCACTTCAAAGGACAGATCCAGTAAGTGCAGGTCTTCAGGATTCGGCAGGGTGCTTCAAGTACCTCACTTCAAATCCATCACAGGCATTTATAATCCTGTGTGCCCAAAGGCAAGATGAGTTTCATTTTCTCAAGTGACTAGATCAGGTTTTCTTTACCTGGGACTCCTTCATGCCATCCTGTTCCCAAGATGACAAGTAGTTAGGTTTTCTACAGAGCAAAGCACTCAGTGTTGCAGTTCCCCCAAAAATTAGTAAAACAGCTGGGTGATAAGTGATATTTCCTGTTGGTCCAGCGGAAGCTAAGGAGGATGTTCATCTGAGATGGAATGAGAGTGCTCTTCGTTGTATAAGTTACTCACCTTCACATGGAAAGGTCAGGAGAATTCAGAAATGGGCTTTGAGTTGAGCTGTGTAAAGATCAGTCCTGTACATATTGATGGAATGGCCTAAAGCCATCTATCACTGGTCCAGAGAGAAGCAAACTCCTGTTACTAGATAGAGTAGGAAGGTATTTAACTCTGTCATCCTAAGCTGAAAGTAAATAAAGATATTGGAGTTCCTTTAAATGTTTTCAACGGACAGTCTATTTCATCTTACAGTCAGGCCTTAATTTTGACTATTGAGTCATATACTTAAATATTTGTAGCATTAATTTCATTGAGGTTCTTAAATGGGAGTCATAAGCTAATAGAACTTACTCTAGAAGAATTTTTTGTGCTTAAAGAAAAGTGTTGGCACCGTAGTTGAAAAAAAACCTCCTTTAGAATTTGGTTGGTTAACAATACAATGAAATATACGAAGGGTTTGCCTATCAGTTTGCATGTTTAGATTCTAAAGTTTTTTTTAATTGTTGATTACTGTGTATTTTAAGTTAAAAATCAGACTAATGTTCTAATTAAATATTCAGACATGCTGCCATGGTCTGTAACAATGGTGCTTTTGAAGTTTCACCTCCTCATGCCCCTCTCAAGACACAGATGTTCTTCAGGCAACTGAGCTAGAGACACCCTCCTGCTTAGAGAAGCTTCTTCCACCTTCTGAGCTGCTACTGCTCTAGGTGATGATGTGGTTTCACAGTTACTGCTTGCTTTGGGACAGTTTCCCTATAAAAATCTCTGAATTTGGCTTTGAATGGAAATCTCTGCCCTGGTAATTGAAGTGTTTAATATTTGGGACTGTGAGCTGTAGAACCTCTGAGGGTCAGGTGGCCTCTAGTGGGGAGATGCTGCTGACAGAGACAACCAGAGCTCAACTGTGGACATGTGGTAATTAGAAACATCTGAAAGATTTGGGGTAAGCAACACTGAACGATGTGTTTCTCAGTAACTTGTGTCAGATCTGTTGCATTTTTGTTTCACAATGCAAGTATTTGCTCCCTTCATTCCTAATTTGGAGTTTGCTTCTTTGACATTGTCACATGAGAGTTGTCCTTACCCTTTGGATTGCTGCTGATGAGGAAGACAACTAGCAAGTCAGCAGCCACAGTTGCTTTCTTTGCTCCCATCTACACTACCTGTCCTGGGAATGCTACAAAGTTAGTGGATTCAAGTGCATAGCAGTGTCTCAGTAATGTCTTTTATCTACCAATGTGTTCATGTCTACTGGGCAGCCATTTTCCCTAGGTGGAGAGCTTTGTGATAATCCAGACAAGAATATTCAAATAAGCCCCTAAACTGGATTCAGGAAATTTGACACATTTCATCTGTGTGTGTGTGTTAGCAAATTAGTGTTTATCAGCAAATAAATATCATTAGAATGGATTTTCTTTTAAGACAAAATGGTAGCATCACCAAGCAAAGACTTTTGTGCTTGTCCAACCCTTGATTGCTTTATCTGACTTCAACCAATATGTCAAGTCCTGTAGAAGCCACACCTGCTGCATTTTGTGGGGGCATTCTAGGTGCTCTTGATTTAGGCACGCTAGATTGCAAGAGCATTTTGATGCAGGGTTTCAGAAATGTATTGAAGAGAGGGGAAACCTCAAGAAGAGACACTTGCCTAACAATCCTTTTTCTGAACTCTCTATAGCCAGCCCTTCAGTCTGTATTTATTTGTTAAAATTTGTAATGTAGATTTTCATGCTGTTTGTGAAATACTTTTTTTGTAATTTTTTTAAAAAATTGTACATTCTAAAACCTTCAGATATTTAGTGGTTAAGTCTGGCTGTGTTGTTCTGGATGCTGTTCTGATTCATTCTGAATGACAAGAGTCAAACTTCTTGTCTTGCTCTCAAGTTTGTTCAGTGTCCTTTTAGGCATGTATTTGACTCTTGAGCCTTATTGACTGTTTCTGGTGTGGTATTTGCACTGATCAATTTAAAAGAAAAAATAAATATGCAGTTGTGTGTAGGTCAGGTATAAGAATCCAAAATGACTGTGCTGCAAAATGCTAATTCAAATGGTAGGTGAAGCCAAGCATAAATGAAATAATAAACACATGTGAGTCACCAAATATAGAACACTTAAGTCCTAGCTGCAGAGGACACAAATGAGATGATAGGGTGTTAGTAGCAAAATGCAATTTACAGGTCAGAATGTAATAGTAACCTTTCACTGTGAAAATTGAAAATTAACCTTGGGAGTATGGGATCATTTACAGCTTATATGGTACTTTCATTGAAGAAGAAAAGTCTTTACAAAGGCTACTGTAATTTTAGATATTTTAAAATCTGAAAATTTCAAAGTGTGTTCTAATCTCTTCTGTAACTGCATCTCACTGTATTTTCATTTGGGGAGGCCTGCACAGATGGCACTGCTAGGGTTTCTTAGGGGTTCACATAGGTTGGTTATCTTTCAATTTTAAATTTTCATAGAAGCTACAGTGATTTACTTATTTTGTATGAAATTCTTAGCATCAGTCATGTCTGTTGAACTTACCTAGGGATTTTACTACTTGCAGGTCTTTTATCAGACTGCTTGATTTTCATTTTTTTTCATCTTACCTGAGATTAGTAGCAACGGGGGTTGCATAAAAATCATGTGAACTTCATGATAATTATCTTTCTGGTAATTTAAAAATCTGGTTTCTAAAAATGATTAAAATTTGGAAAAATAAAAGTAGATTGAGAATGCTGATTTTTTTACATCAGAAACTTCCCATTTAGATATAGAATATGACTTTTACATAAACAGTAACATCAGTAAAGCAGTTAACATAAAGTATTAATTTTCTGAAGGACTAAATCACGTGGTGGTGATAGATATTTAAAGCATAACATAGAAGAATGTAGAAGCAGGATGTCATGCACTTCAAGCAGCAAATTTTTTTAAAAAAGGAATCTCTACTGCATGCATTTAAGATGCCATGTAGTGGTAGCTAATAGTGATTACTGCACAATGCAGCATTTCTAGGTTCATAGAAGGGACTCTCACCTGTGTTTGTGGGATGTGGTATTGGTTTCCATCTCATTATTGTTGAAACAAAGTAATAGAATGATGCAAGTGAGCAAAGTAAGCTAAAAGTAAGGTCCATTGCTTATCTATTCACTACGTATTACATTGTCTCAACTTGTATGTAATTGTAGATCTAATAAAATGCTTTTTATGAAAATACTCCCAAAGTCTTTTGCTTACATTGTGGTGGCTTTGTTGGTACAGAAATTGCATTCTGGTTTTGCATAATTTCTAAATTTCTACTGGATATCCTTGACGTATTGTTGAATATGTATGGGATTTTTGTTAAACTGTTATTTCTGAACAATATAATCTAAATTACTCATTTTCAGTAATAAATTCAAGTAAGTTTTTTTATTCTCCGTAAGAAATTTTGTAAGCTCTCAAGGAGAATAACTCATTTGATGTATTAAAATTTTGTACTCAGTCTACGGCTATTCATTTTTTTTTTTCCAAGATTCTTGCAAGAGTTTAGACTTTTACCCTAGTAACAGTTGTTTGGCTTTAGCCTAATTGATATAACAGTGTAATAGACCTTTCACACTTAAACATGTCCTTTATTCCCATTTTTGTGTGTGTGTGTGTGTGTTTCTTTAGGTAGCTCTGGTGCAGTGGACAGAGAGTGTGGGCCTCACTCTGGTTAACAGGGATCTGACCTCAATGCAGCTGAAGACCCCTGGTGGACACATCCTGACGTACTATATCCTGCAGATCTTCCCCTTCACTTCCGAGAGCAAGCGCATGGGCATCATAGTTAGGGTAATTTTGCAGGTGTCCTGGGTTGGATTTCTCAAAAAATGATTGTATTAGGTGCTTATTCTTACAAGTTTAGTAGCAAGTTCATCCTTCAGGGAAGGCATTTCACAAAATTCTCAAATGGAAAGTATAGACATGAAATACTAGGCAAGCAGTTGTAGGTGAATCAGGCTAACCTGATGTTGCAGGGAGCCTTGTAAAGGACAAACTCTTCTCTTAACATGGGAGCATGTTAACTTCACTGCTTCCTGCTTAGCCTCTGGTGCTGCAAATTGCCTTTAAGCCTTTGGTTTTAATGTTTTATTTGTTCCTTTCACCCAAAATATGTTGCCTCTTCAACAGGGAAGTTTAAACCTTGGCAAATGTTAAGCCATCCACACTCCATATTTCTACCTTCTCCCTGCCTAAAATCAGACACTGTAGCAGAACAGCTTCAGTAGATGTTTAGGTCAGTGCCAAGTTCCAGTTAAGCAAGTGTCACACTCATCCCATTTTTTATCTGCCTGTGGTGACAAGCCAGGCACGCCATCAGCCTTAGGTAAGGATACTTCAGGTGGAAGTGCATGGGCAGGTCTGGAGAGACCTTGGCAAGTCTGTGTTTCATTAGTTGAGGAGCCTGTGAACAGTGACGTGTTCAGAGATATTCTAAGAAGTTTGCAGATCAGACTAATCCCCTCCTTCTGCAACAGACAATACCTTAGAAACTCCTAATTTGGATTATATTGTGTAGATTCACTGAATATGCAATGAGTGTTGCATCATTAAAACAACATTAACAAGCATTTACTCTTAAGTTATTTGTAAATTTTTAATTACTTAGGTATTTCAAAGATACTGAGATTTCAAAACAGATACTACCTAACCAAAACAGGTTAGGTAATATCTGCCACCAAAGCAACAAAATAGTAGTTAGAGGAGGCATAACGATGATATTTTAAAATTTAGTTTAGGGACACTAAGAATCTGTTAGGCACATTGACTTCAGTTAGAACTGATCCTCTTACATGAGAAAGTAGGGGATCTGCATCTCAGGGGAATCAAATATGTAATTTGAATTAGTAACATCAAGTAATAAAATTTGCCTATTTCCTGCCAAAGTACTTTATCTTTTATATATAGTAATCCATTGACTCCTTCAGAAGATAATTAAGTTATTGGTAGGTAATTGTTTTGACTGTATAAGCAGATATTCTCTCCTCCCTCCTCCATTTCTTTTGTAAAATTTTAGGATGAATCTACAGGAGAAATTACATTTTACATGAAGGGTGCAGATGTTGCCATGTCCACTATTGTACAGTACAATGATTGGTTGGAAGAAGAGGTAAGAAACATATTCAGAATTTATGAAAACAAAAATTTGTAAAAACTAAAAATAAAAAACAGAAATACCAGGTGTTGTTGGAATATGTTTAAGTGAAAATCTGTGCCAATGCCATAATGGGTTTTGAAGTTCAGTTACACATACCCTGAATGGTTTTTAGGGGATTAAAATTATTTCCAATTCTACAGGCAAAGCAAAGCTGGTAGTCATAGCAGAACACGTTCCTACTTAAAACAAGGAAAGTTGTTTTTCATTGACTGACCTTTCACATAAAACCTAATTACTTCTGAGAAGTATTCTGCTATAAATCTGTTTTATCCTGAAATGCCCTTGTATAAGTGAGGTATGATTATGAATTACGGAGTTTAATAAGGGTTGCATCTAAACTGAAATATTTTTTGCCACATTTCTCAAACTTCAAATAATGTAGTGACTGAATTTCAAAGCTGATTAGTATTTTTCACTGTGTTGCTCTAGTGGGTACCAGCAATCACCTTATTTTTGACCCTACATAGAGACAATATGTTAATACAATGATTACACCATGTATGTTCATAATGGTATTGGCAATATGAATCAATATTTGCTGCAGGGCAGTTTGATTTATTCAGGGACATGAATAAATTAAACTCCCTCAAGACCTAGCAAAATGTCATAAAAATTACTTTTGGCGATAATGATGCACAATTAATTGTAAAATACTTGTTTAATTTATTTAGCTTTATTAGGTCAAATCAATAAGTGTTTGCACTGGAGAGCCTTGTTTTTCATTAAGACATGCTATTCCATGGCTATCTTTAATGTGTAGATGTTTTTCTGATAAGAGGTATGTTCAGTGGAAAAAGAAAATGTAGCTCTGTTACGTGCCTCAGAAGTAGTTTTAATTTGTTTTAGAGCTTCAACCTTAAAGAAATTTTCTTTAAGCTAGGAGAGGAAATCTAATTGGCTTACCAATAGCGTACCACTTCATTTGGGGAACCTGAAGTATAATTGCTTTTTATTCAGTTTGTGTTGTCTCCAAAGCATTTTAAGAGCTTAAAGGAACCCTTAAAGTTATAGTACAGATATACCCTGTTAGCATATGGAATAAAACATGTACATATGATTGAATATTTGCATAACTGTTCTGTGGTTTGTTCCATTTAGTGTGGTAATATGGCACGAGAAGGACTGCGTACACTGGTTGTTGCCAAAAAATCGCTGACTGAAGAACAGTATCAAGATTTTGAGGTATAAAAGGACAGAGTGATCTTGTGCTTTAGCATATGTAATTACTTCAAGGAGAACATTCCTCTTTTTTATTCTTTTAAGATGCAAAAAAAGATGATTCATAGCTAAATATTGACAGTTGAGGTATGGCCCACAACTTATTAAAGACTTTGTCATTCATTAGTAATGGCTCTGCAGTCATACATAGGATACTGTTCTGCTTTATTATGGAATTGGACAGTGTTTTCCCAGAAACTAGTGTAATGTTATTTCTGTAGCTTCAGTATTACCTAAAAAGATCTACTTCTTCTCAAAGATAAGGGCATTCCTCCCTCGATGCTGTGATGCCTCATTCTTAGTAGTTCTTCAGAAGGCATCTTCCTGAGGTGATTAGTCAGAAAAACCTTGTATAACATCAGGTGTAAAGTAAAATTGCTCTTAGTCTTGTTCTTCATTAAAGTTATTTAAAGACAAACATTTAGCCTAATGAATCCATGCCAGCACTGATTGGTAGACTGAATGTATACTTTGAGTTGTAGCAAACTCTGAGTGGTTTTGTGTTTGTGCAGAGTCGATATAACCAAGCAAAGTTAAGCATACATGATAGAAACCTGAAGGTTGCTGCTGTTGTAGAGAGTTTGGAGCGAGAAATGGAATTGCTGTGTCTCACTGGAGTAGAAGATCAGCTGCAAGCAGATGTTAGACCAACTCTAGAGATGCTAAGGAATGCTGGAATAAAGGTACTAAACTCATACTCCTGACATAAGAGCTTATAATATATTAACTTTTTAAATCAAGACATAAATTATATTTGTCTATATTCAGGTTCTTTCAAAGTAAGAAATAAGTCATAAGCACATTCTGGGCATGAACTAGCAGAACTAAACAAGGCACTGGGTGAAGTTCCCTTATCCACCACAGGTTTCATTAATCTTAAGATTACTTCTGTAGGAAAACTATCAATGAGTAGATGTATGTGTGTCTCAGTCATTTATCGCCTGACTGTCTACAGTAAACTGTCCTAGCTGACACTAAATGAGTTGGCATAAGATTTGTGTGACAACAATGTTTTCGGGTTTGATGCTCATGAGAAGTTTCATCAAAGATCAGAAGGTGATTTGTTTGAACTAGAATTCAGAACTGTCCTTGGAGTTTGTTCAAATCATGTTAAAGGGACAGTGTCAAAAGCTTTGCACAAGAGTTTGCCTTTGTTCATAGGCAGGCTTTGCTAGCCACCTGTCAATTGCACATTTAGAAGTAATACATTTCTTTGAGAGAGGGTTTGAAGTGAAGATACGAACAATATCTGAGGGGAGTGGAAAGATTATATACATTTTGCCTGAAGCAGAGTGTGACACTGCTCTGAAAAGGTGTGTGGGTTTTGTGTTGGTTAAACTGAGTCAGGCGCATTGTGGTATTTTAGCCTGTAGAGAAGAGTAAGTTATTTTGCTTTGAAGTGAACGTGTGAAATCTCTCATTATGAGAGAGGAGCAGCAGTGCATAGGGCTCTGCCTTGGGACAAGTGATGACCCAGTTGAGAATTTATGGGTTAGAATTAGTGGGCAGACCAGTGTGGACAGCATTATGGTGAGCGTCTGCTACAAACTGCCTGATCAAGGAGTGGTAGAAGAGGCCTTCTTCAAAGAAGTGGAAGAAGCCTCCCATTTGCATACACTGGTCCTTGTGCTGGACTTCAGCCCCTCCAATATCTGCTGGAAGGGCAGCACAGGAGGGCACAAGCAAGCTGGGAGAAGTTGGGAGTGCATTGATGATAATTTCCTGACACAGGTGATTGAAGAATCAACAAGAAGGGATGCTCTACTAGTACTCTTAATAACAAACAGGGATGAATTGATCAGGGTTGTGAAAGTTGGTTGAGGGGACAGCCTTGGCTGCTTACAGTGGTTATGAGAGGGTGAA